GGCAAGTTGCATTTCCCATCTCTGTGCCTCAGGGTTCGCATCTGTAAGATGGGATAATGACCTCATAGGGTTGTTGTGAAAATTAGATTTATCCATCCATGTCAAGCTCTTAATAATTGTTAATTAGTTTAACCCAACTTTTTCTTGTTCCACACCAGGCCTAGTGAAGTGTTGGGAAGGATCAAGAATCGCTGTGTTGAGCTTTTGTACCTTCTGTCTGGAATATCTTTCCACTCCTATTCATGTATCTTGAAAGCTTCTCCAACATTCACTGATGATTTCAAATGTACCTATTCCCTAAGCAGCTTGATACTCCACTGACTTGCCGGTAGCATCCTGTGTATATTTTTCCATGATTGAATTTACTTGTATCTCCATGTATTACAATTTGGGGTTCTTGTCTAATCTTGGCTCCTCATTTTTGACACCCTACCTCAATAAGCCTTTAAGCACTTGCTGAGGATCTAGGCGTGGATGGGGCAGCCAAACGGGATACGATGAAGATGAAGTCTTCACAGAGAGCACGCAGGCCCACTGTGGCTGCCAGATCGCGAAACTCCGATCGAGGGTAGAGAGGTATAGCACAGGTAGTTGTTTTGGTTTTAATAAATGTCCTGGAAATCTAGAGGAGTCCGCATCATCAAGGAAAGAGGAGTTGTTTAAAGGTAGGTCTTCAAGGATGCTTACAGTTTGATAGGTGGCCTCAGAAGGAGACAGGTGTCCTGGGGAAAATGAGGAACATAAACTTGTCTCTGGGAAAGAATTCCTGTTTGGGGTTGGACTGTTACGGAAAATACTGGAAAAACCTGGACTGGATCACTGACGGAAGAACCAAGCGGCACTCAGAAGTCTTGGAGTGTTGAGGGTTTATTTTACACCAGCAGGGCTCAGAGGGGAGTCATCTCCCGAGGTCTGAGCCCCGAACAAAGGCACGGGGAACAATATATACCTTTCTGCTTCCATATCTGCAACATTTCTACGTGCACTGAAAGGAGCAAGCAAGGGGGAGCAGGTTTAGGGAGTATAAGTGCCTGGCAGAGCGGGGAGTGAAGGGGAGGGCGACGTTAAGGGAGTTTCTGTTGTCTTTGCCAAGAAGGGGAGCAAGGGGAGCCACCTGGACTAGACTGCTGTCCTTGTAAGTTTTTCCCTATCAGGACGAGTAGGGTGAGATCAGATTATGGGGAACTGGAAACTGAACAGCTCTTTAGATGACTAGAGGAAATAGCCCCTGTGCACCTTAGGCAAAGTCCTACTTAGGTAAGTACAGCCTGTGTTAGGGTAATTAGATCAGTGGAATCGAGGGCCTGAGAATTTTTCATGAGAATCCAGTTTCCTATTAAGAGTTTATTTATACATCAGTTTTTGTCCTTAATCTTTCTGGCTGTCCTGCCAGTTTGTCCCCTTTCCCAGGGATCTCTAACTTCCACAGGGAAAGAGTTGGTATTCTCCAGACCTTATGGAATCTGCATTGTGCCATGTGTTGGAATTGAATTTACATTCAGTGTGTGCATTTTTTGACAAGCTACCAAATCCTTTCCAAGAATATTCTGGTCAAGTGTGCAGTAAGAAGTGACAGTGTAAGAAGGGACAAACCTGACCTTGGCTGCGCTCTGCCACCGACTAACTGGTTCACTCTGGCCCCAGCACCGTGTCCTCGTTTGTGGTGGAGCATGATAATCCTTCCCTCATTAGGAATTATATGTGTGAAATTGAGATCATAATAGCTAATGTTTATTGAGCACTTGCTATGTACAGCACAGTTCTTAGAATTTCGTATGTATTGAGTCATTTAATAACTGAGAAAATGGCCAGTAGGGTGCCTGGCTCAGTGTCCAGCATAAAATAAATGGTAGATAAAAATAGCCTTAAAAATTACTGAGAAAAGAGACTAGATTAAAACTTCTTAATGCCACTTGAGCCTGTTGGAAGTGCTATCTACACAGTCCATACCCTTCTATTTTGCTGTGTAGATGAAAACTGGTATATAATGTCCACATGTCATATGTTTAACTGCTTTTTAAGCTTCTTGGTGTGATGTACTTTAAGCCGAAGACTCTTGTCAAGTTACAAGCTGTATACATTTTGTTTGAATATTTGTATTTTGACATTATTGATTATAATGCAAAAGTATTTTTCAAGTGGGTACCTAAGTACCTAAAAGTTATTGTAGATTTAAAAAAATATTTAACTTCAATTTATTTATTTTAGCATAAAATAATTTCTTTATATATGTATATATACACACCCACAATAATTAGCACAGTTTTGGTATAGTATGTGCTCATTGTGTGGCAGCTATTATTATTATTAGCCTGACCTCTGAAATAAAGTCAAAATAAAAATATCCATGAGAGTTATAACTTATTTTAGAATATTCTTGAATTAGTTAGGGCCAGAAAGTATAACGGCAAAACATGAAATGGGAGACACCAGCTTACTCATTCAGTATGAGAACGTTCTGGAAGAAGTACGTCTAGCTGCTTTATAAAGGTGGTACAGCTGCACAATTGGGAAGAAATCGACTACATCTGTGGCTACTCTACTCCAGATGTAGGCCCTGTGTGTTCGGTCTTGGCATATCTGAACAACACTTTTTGTGTTTTTAAGCACACTTTGAAACAAGTAACCAGAAGTGCTTCACACTATGTGCTACTTGTAAGAACATAGGTGATTGCACGATATTAAATTTTGCAAAAGCAAGGCATTTCATATCTATAAAATAAAGTTTAGCTTATTTTGAGTCTGAAATGAGTTGGTTTTCTGGGTGCTTCTGTTAATTAAAACGTAAAGATAAACGTAATCATGAAAAAGGAAGCGTGTTTACTCACATGCCAAATGTATCCAGTTTCCATGAAGTTGGGTTTTTCTTTCCTTTCTTCCAGTAGGAAGATAAATGATGAACATCATAAGCAGGAAGTGTGTGAGGGAAACCCTTGTGCATGCATGTCTCCCCTTCTTTCTGTCTCCATCACCTCTTCCCCCACCCCCACCCGACCACCCTCCGTTTATACATTCTTGTTTTCATTTTCTTTGTTTAGATCTATATCTGCAGAAGCTTAAGCAAGTGATACATGTTTTATATTTGGTTTAAAATACACTCAGTGCAGTACTTTATTTTTTCAAATATGAACAAATTTGTTACCAAGTGGCTGTAGATCTCTGCCAGAGACAGTGTGGGGTTGGATCTGTCTGGGCCACTCAACTAGCTCTGTGATCCTGAGCAAACTTCTCAACCTTTCTGTGCCTTGGGCTCTTGTCTGTAAAATGGGTACAATAAAAATAGCCCTCTGCAGGAGCCGTGAGGATGGAATGAGTTAATTTGGTAAAGCAGTTAGAGTCATGCCTGGCATTGGATAAATGTTTCCTAAAATTATTACAGTATTTGTGCTGACTTTGAAAAGCTTGGCTGAGCATGTGCAGCGAGCAGAAGGGCACCTGGGGAAGGGCGGTGTCCCATGCTGTCCCCAGCCCGCCTGCCCACACCATGCCCTTGCCACTCAGCAATCCCCATGATCACATGCCAAGGATAAAGCCAGGTGTCAGCAAATGGGGTAAAACAGATTTTTTGCAGTGACACTGCGCTGGGGAAAGAGCTGAGCTCCATTTTGACTCGTGCAGAGGTGACTGGGTGTTTTAAAGGGAAAAGGAGAGAGTAGGGAGGGGGAGTGAGTCAGAGAAGTGAAACTTACTGAGTAAGAGGGTGGGTAGATGTCAGTTTGATTAGGCCATCCAGCTGGCAACTACCCCAGCCGGGCATTCAGCCTCCTGTGGAAGCTGGGGGCGGGGGCTATCCTTCTGAGGATCACATTTCAAAGGAATGGCTTTGAGAATGACACTTCTTGGGTTTTGAGGGACACACACCAGTCTCAAAGGGACAGAGGAAGGATTTACAGTTGTGAACTTCCTCAAGCTATCAGGGTTCAGAGGCCCGTCTTCAGGTGTGGCTGAAATGAAGGGTAAATGCTGCTTTTGGCTGCCTGAGCTTCCTCAGGCAGGCCTTTGAAGGAGGCCTGGGGCCACATCCCAGGGACAGCCTTGAGCTACTGGAAACCGTGCTGCCCATGTGTGTTCCAATCTCTTAGTGTGGGAGGGGGCTGCGATGGGCTGTGCTGAGAGCTGCAGGTCTTACAGGCCCAGGGGAGGGCCTAGTGGAGAGGGCTTAGAGGGGCCTGACCAGAGTCTGGCCAAGGACAGAGCCTTTGCCACATTCCTTAGCAGCTGTGCAGAGTGGTCTCTGTCTTTTCGTGGCTGGTAGTCCCCTATTGATGGACATTTCGGCCCAGTGTGTTGAAGCTTTTATAAACCGAAGGTATTTTCAAGAAAACAAATACATATTAACTCATATGACTTAACACCAAAAAAAACAAATAGTCCAGTTAAAATATGGCAGAGGACCTGAATAGACACATTTCCAAAGAAGATATATAGATGGCCAACAGGCATGTGAAAAGATGTTCCATATCGCTAATCATCAGGGAAATGCAAATCAAAGCCACAGTGACATCGCTGCACAAGAATGGCCACTAACCAGAAGATAAGAAATAACAAGTGTTGGTGAGGATGTGGAGAAAAGGGAAACCTCCTACACTGTTGGTGGGAATGTAAATTAGGGCAGCCTCTATGGAAAGCACTATGGAGGTTCCTCAAAAAACTAAATATAGGAATATAATATGAACCAGTAAGTCCACTTCTAGGAATTGACCCAAAGAAAACAAAATCTCTGATTCAAAAATATATATGCACCCCTATGTTTATTGCCACATTATTTACAATAGCCAAGATGTGGAAGCAACTGAAGTGTCCATCAGTAGATGAATGGATAAAGAAGATGTGGTACATATACACAGTGGAATATTATTCAGCCATAAAAAAGAAAGAAACCCTGCCATTTGCCACAACATGGATGGACCTAGAGGGTTTTATGCTCGGTGAAATAAGCCAGGTGGAGAAAGACAAATACTATAGTATTTCACTTATTCATGGAATTTAAAAACAAAATGAACAGAACAGCAGTAGACTCATAGATACTGAGAAGTGACTGGTAGTTACCATAGGGGTGGGGATGGTGAGGGGGATAAAGGGGTATAAAAATTCTCAATCATAATACGGTAGTCACAGGGCTGAAAGTACTGCATAGAGAATATAGGAAATAATTCTGTAATATCTTTGAAAAATATTAAATGGAATTTGATTTTTCAAAAATGATTAATGCAGCATGTTAAAAAATGGCATAATAATCAATCTGAGATTAAGTTTTTTTAAAAGACTCATGAAGCATTACCCTTCTCCTAGGACTAACCACATAAAAAAGTGTGGGGTAAACTGATTATTACCTGATATGCATGCCTGCTGCTTGGGTTTACATCCTGGTTTTGTCTGACAAGTTACACGTCATGGCAAGTTGCATTTCCCATCTCTGTGCCTCAGGGTTCGCATCTGTAAGATGGGATAATGACCTCATAGGGTTGTTGTGAAAATTAGATTTATCCATCCATGTCAAGCTCTTAATAATTGTTAATTAGTTTAACCCAACTTTTTCTTGTTCCACACCAGGCCTAGTGAAGTGTTGGGAAGGATCAAGAATCGCTGTGTTGAGCTTTTGTACCTTCTTTCTGGAATATCTTTCCACTCCTATTCATGTATCTTGAAAGCCTCTCCAACATTCACTGATGATTTCAAATGTACCTATTCCCTAAGCAGCTTGATACTCCACTGACTTGCCGGTAGCATCCTGTGTATATTTTTCCATGATTGAATTTACTTGTATCTCCATGTATTACAATTTGGGGTTCTTGTCTAATCTTGGCTCCTCATTTTTGACACCCTACCTCAATAAGCCTTTAAGCACTTGCTGAGGATCTAGGCGTGGATGGGGCAGCCAAACGGGATACGATGAAGATGAAGTCTTCACAGAGAGCACGCAGGCCCACTGTGGCTGCCAGATCGCGAGACTCCCATCGAGGGTAGAGAGGTATAGCACAGGTAGTTGCTTTGGTTTTGATAAATGTCCTGGAAATCTAGAGGAGTCCGCATCATCAAGGAAAGAGGAGTTGTTTAAAGGTAGGTCTTCAAGGATGCTTACAGTTTGATAGGTGGCCTCAGAAGGAGACAGGTGTCCTGGGGAAAATGAGGAACATAAACTTGTCTCTGGGAAAGAATTCCTGTTTGGGGTTGGACTGTTACGGAAAATACTGGAAAAACCTGGACTGGATCACTGACGGAAGAACCAAGCGGCACTCAGAAGTCTTGGAGTGTTGAGGGTTTATTTTACACCAGCAGGGCTCAGAGGGGAGTCATCTCCCGAGGTCTGAGCCCCGAACAAAGGCACGGGGAACAATATATACCTTTCTGCTTCCATATCTGCAACATTTCTACGTGCACTGAAAGGAGCAAGCAAGGGGGAGCAGGTTTAGGGAGTATAAGTGCCTGGCAGAGCGGGGAGTGAAGGGGAGGGCGACGTTAAGGGAGTTTCTGTTGTCTTTGCCAAGAAGGGGAGCAAGGGGAGCCACCTGGACTAGACTGCTGTCCTTGTAAGTTTTTCCCTATCAGGACGAGTAGGGTGAGATCAGATTATGGAGAACTGGAAACTGAACAGCTCTTTGGATGACTAGAGGAAATAGCCCCTGTGCACCTTAGGCAAAGTCCTACTTAGGTAAGTACAGCCTGTGTTAGGGTAATTAGATCAGTGGAATCGAGGGCCTGAGAATTTTTCATGAGAATCCAGTTTCCTATTAAGAGTTTATTTATACATCAGTTTTTGTCCTTAATCAGTAAGAATAGTGAGTAGAATTGAGATCTTTACTGTCTCTCCTCTTCATGAAAAAAATGCTAACGTCCTGACCCCTGTACTTTGATGGTAGTGTTTCCTCTGTGAATCAGAAATGCAGCTCATCTTCCCTTTCAATAGCACATCATTATTAAATAGCTATGTGTTAGCTCACTATTATAATCCTACTGTATTTTGGTAATATTAAGGGCTACAGATAAACAGTACAATTTTTTTGTGTAGGCTTGCTGTCTACTTGAAAACTGAGACATAAATACATGAATAGAGTGGGTCGCGGGTTGGCAAAGGTTTTCTGTAAAAAGCCAGGTAGTCAATATTTTAGGCTTTGCAGTCAGAGAGAGTTGCAACTCTTCAACTCTGTTACTGTAGCATGAAAAGCAGCCATGGACGGTCCCTAACTGAATGCATTAGCATGGCTTTACTTATGGACACTGAAATTTAAATTGCATATAATTTTCAGGTGTCATGAAATGTTCTTTTGATTTCTGTTCAATTATTTAACAATGTAAAAGCCATACTTCGCTCCCAGGCCATACAAAATCTGGTGGCAGTCCAGATTGGCCATAGTGTGTCTAGGCCCCTGCAACGGACTGTGATCGAGAAAGGTACAAAATGAGAAAGTGATGCCGGGGTTCTTGTTTGCAGAGTCATCAGGATAAGAGAAAGTATGGAACTCCCCGCAGGTGCAGGGAGGGGCAAAGTTGCGTTTGGGGTCTCGGTGTCTAGGATTTTATGCCTGCTGCAGTGGGAGTTTTCTAGATTCAGCCAGAATGCGAGTTATAGTTTAACCTGTTTCTGTGAAGGTTTCCAGGATACCCTATTGTAAACTAATAGGCCTATGTGACTATGAGCAATGAGCTATTCTATACCACTGGGTCCCAATGCGGAATAAATTGTTACATTGTTTCAATCTCAAGTACCCTGTTTTGTAAGACTTTGTCCTTTTCCAGGGCCCACACTGTACTTCACCTGGGTGGGAGTTACGCCCTGCTGCCTTCCTGTCTCAGGGGGAGCAGAGGTTAACTATCTGTGCAGGCCTGGGGCAGCTTCAGAGGATGCTTTCCGGAGGAGGGGAATTTTACCCAGGCGTTGAAAGGTAAGCCTTCGTTTGCCTGGGGTCAACTGAAGGGGGTGGGAGGTACCTTCCAGGCTCCGTGAGCACCGGCAAAAGGGTGGAAAGGCCTGAAGTATGTGGGTGTTTGGAACCATGAATGGTTTGGTGTGGCTTCACAGGGGTAACAGGAAGCAGGGGAGCGGCTGGCAGGGAAGTTGGGCCAAGTTCCGCAAAAGGCTTTTATTGCCATGCCAGCGAGTTTGGATTTTATATCATAGGCGATGGAAGCTTTGGACGTTTCCCGGGAGGGAAGCAATCAAAGTGTACCAGTATCTTACACAGACGTGGAGGGCGGGGGCACAGAAGCTGGGGTAGAGAAGGGCCGAGATTGTTGGTGCAGGGTTGGTGGGGCAGGAACTGGGTGGGAGGGCTGCCTCACGTCAGGGGCGTGGGCACTGCCAGAAAGGACGAGGCATTAAGTGGAGACCAGGGAGTGATGCCAAAAGCTGGGAGCCAGAAAACAGCCTGCCAGGGCACTGCATGCAGGAAGAGGGGCTGAGGGCCGGAGGTGGGCAGGGTGTGCAGGGCAGAGGGGTTCCCCCAGCGCCTGCAAAGGCTGGGCAGAACTGTAGGAAAAAGGTGTCCATTTTTATTATAAAAACAACACTTAATAATTTTAAAAAAGTAAGACAGTAGAGGGATGTATGTACAGTGCCCCCTCTCGCCCTCTGCCCTCCCACACCTAGGAGGAATTACCGTCCACGATTTGGTGTGTGTCCTTCCAACTCTGTTCTATGCAAATATACATACATCTTTTTAAATAAAAATGGGAAGCGTACATATTTTCAAGCAATTTGCTCTTTTACTGAAAATATTTATGTCGCAGATACCTTTCCTGTCAGCACATAAAGATCTACCTTATTCTTCTTTAACAGTTTTGTAGTTTTTCAGAGCACAGGTGTAGAATTTATCACATCTTCCCCTGGTGATGAGCACTTGTCGCCATCCATTTAGCCTTTTAACTAATGCTGCAGTCAGCGACCTGTGCAGCAGGCTGAGCCCTCGGCTCGCCCGGGTTTGCTGTGTGCTGCCTATTAGGGCAGGGGGGCCAGGGTAGCCAACAGGTGAGGGCCACCCTGACCACTTACACGCAGGGCTGAAAAGTGGGTCTTGGTTTGGGTGATACATGAGGTAGAATCACCAGGACCTGGCATTGTAGATAAAGTAGTGGCAGAAATAAAAGTTGATAAAGGTTCTAGTCCATCAGCAAATCCCACCCCAGCTTTATCTTAAGAATTAACCCAAAGTCGGTTTGTTTATTACTCTACCCACCACTGCCCACTCTAATCCAAGCCACAGTCTCGTCCCTGGACCAGGGAAATAGCCTTTTGCGTCTCTGTATACTTGTAGTCTATTCTCCCAGAGCAAATGCAATGATCCTCGTAAAATGTGAGAGAGCCGGTTGTGCATCACCTCAGAACCCAGAATTAAACCCAGCTCCCCACTGAGGCCCCCAGGAGGCTCGGCTCAGGGACCATTCCCTCGGAAGCCGCACGCCCCAGCCCCGGGCCCTTCCAGCACTTAGTGCATGCAAGGGCCCTTCTGGTTTGATTCGTTCCTGGATTTGTTTCCCGTCCGTCTCCCTGCCAGAATGGAAGCCTCTGGAGCGCAGGGACTTGTTGCTTTCGCTACTGCATCCTCAGTGCCTAGCACAGTGCCTGGCACAGATGGGTGCTTGGTAAATACTTGTCTGGAATTTTACTGAGTGGGTTGCCCTGATTCAGAGCTTTCATTAACACCTTCATTCCCGCAGCGTGGCTACTAAGTGCCTGCTGTGAAGAGGCCCACCCAGCCAGACAATCCTGTGTCAACATTTAGTGGGCTTATCGTTATTTTCCTGCCTCTGAATCCTGCCTCTGCTGCCCCCAGGGCATGCCCTCAACAAGTCCTTCACCCCTCTGCCCCTCAGCTGCCTCCTCTGTAAAGTGGGCACATGGATCTCGTTTCCTTCACGTGCTTGTTGTGAGGATTAAACAAGCTGATGCACGTGGAGCACTAGGAGCCGTGGGCACAGACTCGGCTAATACTGCTGTCACTGCTCTCACTACCGCGTGCCGGGCGCTGCTCCAGGTGGTGGAGGAACAGGTGAGAATACATTCCTACACCTAAGGGGCTCCCGGCGGGGGCAGCGGGGGCCGACAGCTCAGGGTAGTCCTCATACCAGGTGTGCACAGGGAGCCAGGCGGCAGCGCTCCCTGCGGGACGTGGCTCCTAAGGGAGTCTTTAATCTGGAGAGCTGCCCTGCACATCTGCTTCTCTCACCCAGTCCAGGCCCCGTCTGTGACCTGAGCTCCTGCCCAGGGTCCTAGCGGCTCCCCTGACGGCCCTTCTGGTACATTCTCCGCTCAGCTGCCAGAATGTGGCCTCCTCCTGTGCTGCTGATCCCTTGCTCGCACGGAGCAGTTTTACAGGCTTTGCATTTGTAGGTGTTTTGTTTTCTTTCATCCTGCCTGATGAAATGCCAGCCTCCCTCCTAGGCCCCTGCCCGCAGGGCTCCTTCCTGTCCGTGGGCTCAGCTTGTTGGTGAGGCCTGTTAACATCAACATATTTACTCGTGGCCCTGGACATTTCCCGATTACTTATTTTTCTATTTGTTTGTTTGCCTTTTCCACTAACCTAGCAGTTCCCCAGTATTTTGGTCTCAGAACCCCTTTACACCCAAAAAAATTGAGGATCCCCAAGAGCTTCAGTTTAAGTGGGTCAGTGTTAAAGATGAGAAATTTAAAAAATACATATTAATGCATTTGAAAATAATAAGCCCACTAAATGTTGACATTAACAGCATATTTTTATGAAAGGTAACTTTTCAAAAACAAAACGTGAGTATGGTGGCATTGTTTTCCATTTTTGTAAATTTAATGTCTATTCTAGACACAAAAAGTTGGTAAGACATACTACTTACCCATCAGCCTTGCTTGTAATTTTTTAGTGGTAAAATATACATAACGCAAAGTTTACCACTTGACCCATTTTGAAGTGTGCAGGTTAGTGGCATTAAGTCCATTCACACTGTTGTGCGACCATCATCCCCATGCATCTGCAGAACTTTCTCATCTTCCCAAACTGGATCTCTTTCCATGAGTGACAGCTCCTCATTCTCTGCCCTCCCCCCCTTTGCTTGGGGTTTTGTCCAGGTAATAGGGATGGCTACCTAATTTCTGGAATAATGTTTTCTTTGCCCTAATACAGATTTTCTGAGTATCTACTGTTGGCATCACCAGAGTCAAACATTTGGAATGCCTTCCACCTGAGACCTAGAGCTAGCACACACTCTCTGTGCTTAGGCAGCTTAGTTTTAGGTTGATAGGGACATAAGATGAACTGAAATTGAGGTGAAAGTGTGTATTCATTCAGAAAATACTTATGGAAGTCTGTTTGCATTGATTGCAAAATACACACTTTTTCACCTTCCAGCCTCCCTTAAATTGGGATGAATTTACTACCAGTGGATATCATAGTTTAATCCTCAGACTTCTTTCATAGTGGTATATAAAGTAATGGTGCCCTTTACAATCAAAGGTAGCTTAGATGTGATGGACTACAGTATGTGTCAGGTGCCTAAGTGTGGTGTACAGCCGTGATCAAAGCAGACAGAAAGGACAGTGGATAAATCGTAGCTGGCACTCATTAGATCTGCGTTCCTTCCTTCTTTCAAAAACTGGCAGCGAGGCACCTGAAGCCCACGTAGGCTTTGTACATGACTGCTCTCTCCGCCATTACAACCCAGTAGATGCTGCAGGCATTTGCAATCTTGGATGCCAGCAGAATAAGGTGTTCATTGCCTTCTGCCGAAAAATAACGATATCTTGTTATCATTTTATAACTTACATAGCATTTCTACAGGCATAATTTAACAAACAGGTACTGAGTGAGTGACTTTTCTCATTGGATCACAGCATCCCTTTGAGTCAGGCCACAGTCGCATCACCATCTGTTGGGGATGAAGGTCTTGTCCAAGATCAGCCTAATGAAGGGCAGACCTGGGCTGATAATCCAGGCCTTGTGATTCTTGTGCGGATGCGCGTCAAGTCCAGTTCCTGGGAGGAGTGTGTCCGTGTCTGACCTGTAAACAGTCCTGCTGCTCCTTCTACTCAAGGCTCCGTCTTGAGACACCGTCTAGCTTTGGTTTACTCAAAATACTTCAAAGGTGGAGACTTCTCTAGAGTTTCAAGCTAGGCCATAGAGGCTTCCAGGCTCTTCCCATATTTATTAAACAGCTAGTAATTTTCAGAAGTAAAATGGAGGCTAATATTCATGGAGAGGGACCTGGGGTCAAAGACACATTCCGAGGGTATCCTGGAAGCCGAAGACGTGGCTGGGGCCACATGGCTCCTAGCATGTGAAGAAACTCGTGCAGCATGATGGCCCTGGCCGCGTCTGGTGCAGGGCTCTGGATTGCTGAGGAGCAGGACAGGGGATGGATTTTACTCTTTAAAATGTGGAACCTTTACCATGCGCCACACGGAGCCCTGCCGTCGAACCTGGGGCCTGGCGGGTAGGAGTGTCCGAGCCACTTTGTGACTGTCCCGTGTCGCGTCCTTCATGGCCTCTGGTGGGTGTTTTCACTTTTCTCTCTATGCCTTCCTTTGCTTTTGTTTCATCCTCACACTTTCTCCATCTTTCTGACTCTGCTCAAGTTGATCTTTTTCTCCTTTTTAATTGAGGAGAACCACAGAAGTAGAGAACTGCACCCATAGCTTTCAGAGGCCCCCTGGTCAGGTCCTTGAGTCCCCCAACTCCGTGTGCAGCACCCACAAAAGTGGCCGTGGAAAGGCCCCCTCAGCGCCCGTGGCTGGCACTCTCCGGCCCACCCCAAGGTGTCAGCGTGACGCAGATCATGGAAAACCAGTAAATGCGTGGGAGGTCTGAAATAAGATACCGAGTAACACGTTATGAACCAACTTTGTATCTTAAAATAGATTACATTCGTCCTCCCTGATTCAATGTCAGAAAATTTACAGACTTTTTGGTCATTTGGAGGG